TCTCCAGAACCCATGGAAAAGCCAGGCAGATGAAGCAGCTGCCCAAAATGCCACATGCCACATACCAAAAGAGACAAAGACAAGCCCTTAAGTGAGCAACTGGAGCAGGGGCCTACATGATGCACAGGGTGACTGCAGGGGCATTACTGCTATGACTTACAGTTTGCCATCACACATCGGGGCTTGTCCGAAGGGTCGAGAGTGCTAGGCTTGGCTGAAAGTGGGAATAAACAGATTCTACAAGGACCACAGGCTGGAAGACCCCAGAACCCTGCCCAAGTGGGAGAAATCTCTAGATACAAGCCCAAGTAACACAGCTTGAAAAGTCCCAGGCCTCAGAGCCCACTGCAGAGTGGACATGGCACCTAAGGCCTCGTGGAGCCCTGAACCCAGCCCCACCACCAGACACTGGCTTTGGGGGTGACAGACTGCCGACAAGATGGAGGGCCGAACACAAATGAAGCCATGGGGATAAAGGGTGCTTGGAAGAAGCAGGGAGATGGGGCGAGATCTTCAATAAAAAGATTTGGTGGTACCTACCACCCAGAACATGAGAAGCATTGGGCATCCCTCACAACTAGGGCCCAGCTGCAGCTCCCCAAGGCCATACCAAAGATGTAGGACAAACGAGATTTTTTTTATACTTTTTTTTGTGTGGGCATGCATGTCCCATTACATACATGTGGGGGATAGTGAGGAAGTAAAGATTTTCCTTCTACCATGCAGGCCCTTAGGATCAGATCAAACTCAGGTCATCAGACTTGGTGGCAAGCACCCTTTTGTTTCTTGAGCCACCTTGCTGGTCCCAATCCCCAAGATTCTGTTAGTGCCCTGACCCACCCACTTTCAAAGCTCTTCCATGCCCTTGGACAACCATGGCAGTCACTTACTTAGCCTGTGTCTCCTGATGCCAGCATCCTGGGACAGATGTCAGTGACCTTGATTAGAGGTTAGAGGTGATGTCTGCCTTCAGGCGCTTCAGAGATGAAAGGAAAGGGAGCTGCGTGGATAGAGGGAGAAGCTAGAAATCATCCTTGCCCTTCAGTCCATACAAGTCACTGGCATCATGACCCTACCTGAGAACCCATGTGGGATGTGGAGACCAGCTCCCACTGGGTTCATGGTCACAAGCCTGTCTATCCACGCAGCTCTAAGGACTCAGCCTGTGGACACTATTGACCAGGACAGGGAAAGAAAGACTGGTCCCAGAATCCAGGATGACAGAGGGTGTGGCCGGGTGAAGGGTGTGTTCCTACAAGGCTGTTGGGCAGGCAAGGCAGGCCAGGCAGGACTGGGAGGAGTTTCAGGGCCCTCTGAGAAGCCATGCTCAGGAAGCAGCAAGAGTATCCAAGGGGCATGGGCTTCCCTGGTTGCTGAGAAGAAGGACAGCAGAGATCTGGAGACCACACTGAGGAGGGACCTCCTTAGGTCCAGAAACTGCAGAGTGTGTCCTGAGAAACCAAAGCAACGCACCAGCCCAGTGGGCCCTGCCAGCTGCCCAGAGCCACCATGGAGGTGAGCTGTGTGGGTGTGAGTGAGTGTGCATGCGTGTGGGGCTGGCTCAGGAATAGAATGGTGTCCAAGCGGTGGCCCCACGACACCAACACGGTGGGGACACACTTGCTGCCAAGAATCAGAGAATCTCATCCCCTAGCCCATCTTCTCCACCTGTGTCCAGACTCCCTCCTTACTACAAAGGGTCTCAGGACCAAGGCAAGGCTTTGCCCATCTCCAAGTGGAAGGGCCCCCAGGTCCACACCCAAGTCTGGCATCTGGCTGTGGGGCAAAGTCAAGCCCGGACAGGCCCCGACAGGTTCTCTGAAGGCTGAAGAGTCGGGTCTAGAGAGGAAGGTGGGTACAGGAGCAGGAGGGGGCACAGTTGGCAGACATCACGGGGATGACCCACCATGGGGTCTAGGGCCATTGGGCACAAGCAGATCCTACTCATCCTCAGGGATCCACCTGTGCTTCAGCTGACACCAAGGCAGCTGAGCTGGCTCTGAGCCCCAGGTCCTCACTGGCCTGGTGAGAGAACCTATAGCCACCTGAGATTAGCAACCCGAGTCCCCTTTGTGTGTCCAGACCCTCTGTGAAACCATAAACAGAAAGATAACAGCCTGGGGAAACTGAGGCAAGGCTTGGTCATGTTGACTTGTCTGCCCCACCTTTCTCAAGGCTACATCTATCCAAGTAGGGGCCACATCTCGGTCACCAGAAGGCACTACATACACATTCTAGACTTGTATTCTAGGCAGGTAGGCTGGAAGTCTCAGCTGAAGGAGGCACAGGCAGAGAGAAGGAGTGGCTGTGGGGATCCCCAACACGGAAGGCCAGCAATCGGGACTCATCACCCAGACTTCCTGGAACCCGCAAAGAGATATACCCAGGGCCTCTCAACCTACCTGAGCACCTTGACCCATAGGGAGCTCTTGGCTTCATCTCCGCCCTGCCACGCCTCAGGTGTGGGTGTTAGCTGGATCAGGGCCAGAGCGCTGACAGAAACAAACCTCACTGACACCCAGTGGACGCTAGCAGGGGATCCAGAGGATTTGGAGATCAGCCTGGGGCGACTGGATGCCAAAATTATACTGTCCACCCTGCAGGGCCAGCCCTGAATGTGCCAGCTCAGCCAGCGAGTTCTACCAGCAGGTTACTTACCCCGGGGCAAACAAACCCTGACCCTGACTCTAGAGAGACCACATGGCCAGCTAGAGACTTGCCACAGACCAGGCTGAAGCCCAGTGTGGAAACCTCAGCCCCTATCAGAGGTGGAGGCCATGGGACAGGGGTGGAAGCGAGGAACAGGCAGAGCGGCTCTCCTGAACCCCCACCCCCAGTTCTCTCAGTACCGTCTTCCGGATTGGCAGGAATCTAGTGTCCTGGTCACAGTGAACAGTAGGCTAGTGGGACTATCCTCATATGGGTGTGGCCGGGTCCAGCCCTCTGTGACTGTGGCCTCTGGTGAGGCCTCACTCGGCAGTGTGTGTGTGAAGAAGCAGATACAGCTGGAGAAGTGAGGGGTCACAGGGGAAGGTGGCAAGAGAGAAGCTTGTATCTGAGCTCAGCACAGCGGCTCCCCCTCTTTCTCCAGCTTCCGGGATGTGGTACTCTGTCGAGACTGTGGACTCCCTCTGCAGGCGAGTCATTTGGCAAGCCCTTCCCTTGTTCCAGAGCCAGGCAGCAAAGATGGTCCCCAACCCTAGACATATCAAGGATGCGTTTGCCAAAGCCACAGGGTGCACCCAGCAGAGACCCTTCTCTGCCCCCACCTCACATGCCCAGAAGGGGGAGCCAGAAAGGGGGCTCCACTACCCAGAAGGGTGCCATCGCCTCCATTAAAGTCCATTCCTGAGATGGCTACCTGATCTCTCCCACCTCACAGCTTAAAACCCACTGGGAAGATGCTGCAATGACCAAAGTTTTCCAGCAGGAGGCAGAGCCTGCTGAGGTCGAGGCATGATCTGGAGGCCCAAGAATGGGGTGGGGAGGCTTCTGTGTTATTAAGGACCCAGGCACAGCATCAGGTTCCAGAAACTCCTAACAAGAAGGACAGGTAAACACCCAAACAAATCTCAGATGAAAGCTTTTAGCAATGGGATGCGGAGACATTACTAGAAGTGACAGAGGCCAGGACATCAGTATCTGGGAGGTGAGGGTGCAGCAGCCATGGTCCAGGGCCTGTATGTCAGGGACAGAGGTGGCCTAAGCAGTCAGGGAATGACTCCCAGGACATGTGCAGTCATGGGAAGTACATGATTTGAAGACATGGATTGTAAGGGATCGTGGGGTTGACAGATCTCAGCCTTGTACAGTTGGGTACTTCTGGAGTATCCCAGATACGTGCTAAGCCTCCAGTGTCCGTGTCTCAACTCCAAAAGAAAAGTAGCCTGAAGCCATGTCTAAGTCATCAGTAGGGTCACGTGGCACAAAGGACCAGATGGGTGTCATCATAAAACACCCACACTGGTAAAGCCCATATGAATCCAGAACAGACCTGAGATATGGCCAGAGCCCCCACCTACTCCAGGAGCCAGGGCAGGTGAGCCTCTTTCCACAGGCATGTCACATGGTAGGGATTCTAGGCAGGTGTTCTACCACTGAGCCACACCCCAGCCCCTCACTGGGGATTCTAGGCAGGTTCTCTACCACTGAGCCACATCCCAGCCCCTCACTGAGGGAGTCTAGGAAGACAGTTTAAAGATGAACTACATTCCCAGCACACTTTTTATATTTTATTTTTAGATAGGGTCTCACTAAGTTGCCCAAGCTGGTCTTGAATTCACTCTGTATCCTAGGCTGGTCTTGGTTTACCAGTGATGCCTCAGATTCCAAAGTAGCTGGGATGACAGGCCTATGCCATGAGGTTTGATTAAATTTACCCATTTTTATTTTTTCGCTCATTTGTATATTCATTCATGAATATGTATAGTGACTGATTCAGTGGGACAGGCTTTCACTAGCCCAGTTTAGACTGAAACAGTTTGTAGCAAGAATGACCTTGAACTTCTAACCCTCCTGCCTTTAACCGAAGTGCTGGGAAAACAGTCGGACACCAGCACACATAGTTTATGCGACACGGGTGGAACCCTGAGCTCTACGCATGCTAGGCCAGCACTCCACCAACTAAGCCACATCCTCAGCACGACCCAGTTTTAAGCGCACAATTCTGGAGTAGTAGGGATGCCCACAATAGGCAGCCCCCACTTTGTCTAGTTCTAGATCTTTCTCACCACTCAAAAAAGAAGTTCTATGTCCGCGAATCCCCCATGGCCTTCTTCTTCCAGCTGGCCCAGCTCATGCACGCCCTTCTCTCTTGTCCCTGCCTGCTCAACTGCCTGGCAACCTGGTGCCAGCAGGTGAAGGCACCTGCCAGCCAGGCTGTTCCTGGAAGCCAGCTGCTGCTGAGCAAACCGCCCCAGAGGGATAGAGTGTCTACAGGGGCGGGGACAAGCCTTAGCTTCTCCTCCCTTTGCCCCTCCCTCAGCCCTCAGCCCAGGTGGGCCATTGGCCAGGTGAGGCCCTGTGTACCTTTCCTGGCCTAGCGCTACCCTCCAGAGACCAGCCTTGCCCCAAACCGAAGCTTGGCTTCCAGTGGGGGCCATGTGGCCGCGTGAATGACCAGCCAGGCTTCCCATGAGGCTAGGCCTCTCAGGCCTGGGCCAAAGAGCTTCCTGCTCACCGAGGTAGGCTCCCGCCCCCGTGGCAGACAACTGAGGGTAGGAAAGAGGCCCAAGGTTGTTGGCTCCCAGCTGGCACATGCACTACTGCTTACGGCTGGAGCTTGTGGAGACCCTAAAGAGTATCTGGCCAGAGTCAGAGGCAAGCAAGGGTCAGGTGGGGGCGGACCAGCACCGGCGGTGGGGGTGGAGCACCTTCTCCTGCCTGAAGGTATGATTACTGGCCATCCCTCCCAAATGTCCCAGGCAGGTGGATCCCCACTTCCCAGACAAGTTTCGGGTTTATTGTTTGCTTTGGTAGAAACAAGTTTCGGGGTTTATTGTTTGCTTTGAATTTGAGTTTGCTTTGAATTTGGAGATATTTTTCTATTTTGAAACTGAGTGACTAGGTAGCCCAGGCTGGCTTTATATTTGCTAGGAGTACAGGTGCGTGTCGTCGCCACCTGCTTAGAAACAGTCTTTGACTCCTAGGAAGTAGCTGTCAATGAGCCCAGAGCACAAAGGAACCTGAGGGGGCTTCCTCCCAGAACATCCACCCAGGATCTGAGCCCCAGGCAGCAAAGCGGCCAGGTCCCTTGTCCTTCAAGTGGGATCCCACGGCTACCCAGAGTCAGGAGAGTGGGTGGGAAAGCCAGGGCAGACTCCCACAAAGGGGACAGGTGGCCACGGTGGGCCCCCAGGGAAGCTTCTGTGGATATGGGCGGGGTGCTAGGGATGGTAGCCAGGCAGGCAGAAACGGCTGTGGGCAGAGCTGGCCCCTGGGCGACACCCACATGGCCTTGCCCATCTCCTGCCCCACCTCCTGCCCCTCACACTCCCACGGAGGGGAGGGGGCTGCCCTGGCTGCTCACTCCTCTTTTGGCTTCTGCAGATGAGGAATGCATCAGGCTTTCTGAAAACAGCCAGAGCTCCCTTGGTGTCAGCGACCTGGATTCCACCCAGCCCCTCTCCGGCAATGCCCACGGTGGCAGCCGGGCCGCAGATGGAGCGTGTGGACAACGGCTCACAGGGGCCCCCCCAGCTCTTCCTCACCAGTGCATTGGCCCGAGGCGTGTCAGGCGTGTTTGTATGGACTGCTCTGTTCCTAACCTGCCACCAGGTAAGCACCCCAAAACCCTGCTGGGCTCACAGTCTCTATGGGACCCGGCACGGCTCAGATGGACCCCCATGGACAGATCCTGGGATCATGAAATCTCCAGTCATAGCCTCCAGTACTGGACACCCCAGGCATAGTGTCTGTCTATGGCCCTTGTCCAGGGCTTACATGCAGGGGCCAAACCTAAGGTGGGAGGTCTCGGCCAGACAGAGGGTACTTTGCTGGGTGGGCACCCCCAGTCATGTCTGAGGCCTCTCACTCTGCTCACCAAGATCAGTGATTGGTCCCAGGTCCCAGACAACAAGAACACTAAGGCTCAGAGATGACTGGAGGCTTCCCCAGGCTCACACAATTGGAAGAGAAAGCCCCCCCCCCCCAGGAATGGCCAGGGCTTGAACTTTGCTCTATACAGAGAACCTCAAGTCAGACATCGGGAGTTTGGGGAGGAGGGGCAGGAAGATGGGAGAAGGAGAGGAGCTAGGAGAGTGGGGGACTGAGAGGAATGGGAACTGGGGCAGTGAAGAACTGGAAGGGTGCTGAGGGGTAGGGGGTGGAGCTAGGAGAGTTGTGAAGTAAGAAGCTGGGGGCTGGGCAGGCAGAGTGGAGAACTGGGGGAGGAATATGGCAGCTGGAATATGGGAGCAGTTGGGGAGCTGGAGCCAGAGAGCCGAGGACTTGGAGTTTGGTGTTGGGAGCTGAAAGCCCCAGGCCCTTTGGAACACCCATTTGGCACCAGGGGAGGGCCTGAGTCAGTAGGTAAGCTGTGTGCAGGAACTAAGCAAACACCTCTGCCTGTGACAACCACCTGCTGACTGGTACCTGGCCAGGTGTGCCTCAGTAACCAGGATACAGGCCTGGCCCTGAGGGCAGGCCAGGCAGGTGTCAGCCACGTGTTAGGATCAGCAGGATGACCTCTGGGAGGAGTAGGGGCTGGCACAGAGAGAGGATCAGCACCTCCATTTACAAATGGTGAAACTGAGGCAAGAGAGGGCAGCAAGTTGCCAAGGTCACCAGCCAGGTGGTGCTAGCCTGGGAAAGGTCTCCCCGCTGGCTGGTCACGTTCTGTCCTCCCTCAGCGGCTGGGGAGGGAGGAAGGGACTGATAAGGAGCTGGTCTCTGACGCCAGCAACCTTCGCACCCCACACAGCCCCTGTACACACACAGCTCCCTCTAAAAGCATGACCTCCGTGCCCCGCAGGGCACCTCCCCAAAGAGTCTTCCTCAAGTGTCCTGGAACCAGGAGGAGGCACCCAGCTCCTAGCCTACTTCCTCTTAGAGACTCTGTACAAAGGGGCTTAGGGGCACAGGCTGACCTGAGGAGATCCCAAGAGAAGGCCTCTGTGGAGTCCACAATGTGTTCAAGACCAGCCTGAACAGCTAGCAAGACCCCCACCCCCAGATAAAACAGAGGAAAGAGAATGGCTCAGAAGTAGAGTGCAGCTGAGGGTACACAAACTCCCTATGTAGCAGAGGATAACCTTGAACTGCTGATCTTCCTGCTTCCATTTCCAAAGTTCTGGAATTACAGGTGTGCATCACACACCTCCCGGTTGATATGGAGCTGAGGAGGAAGCCCTGAGCTTCCTTCGTGCTCGGCAGGCACTCCATCGACTGAAACACATCCCCAGCCCTTTCCTTCCATTTTCGTTAGGCAGAGATGACACTTGAACCTGCTTGGCTTTCTATTCTGACCTTGGGTACCTCGTCTCGTCAGAGGATTTCCCGTAGAGCTGTGCATTGGAGCCCCGTTCTTACTGACTATATAGCGTTCCTCCACACATAGGCTCTATGGGGTGAGCCTGGCATCCCATGGTGAGCGTAGCCCCAGCAGTTGTTACTGGGGTTCATGTGATGAACCTCTTTACACGCAGATTTTTTTTTCCTCTTTATTTCTGTAAAGGGACAGATTCCTAGAAGGGATCAAAGAGCAAGAGGCCTTCCCATGGTCCCCAAGTTGAGAGCCTACCTGTACCATAGGGGACATTTAGGTCTCCTTACTGAGTTCTGACACTTAGCAGGACCCAGGAAACTCTTGTTGGATGAGTGAATGTCCTGACTTTGGGAATGTTCTTCAAGATGACCCCACAGGGCATCAAAATATGTTACAAGTTTGAAAATGCCTAAGGAATGAATTTTAGGCTTAGTGTGACAGACAGGCTCATCACTTCACCACTGGGCGAGGCTAAGGCAGAAGGATCATGCATTCAAGGCCAACCTGGGCTACAGAGTGTGACTCTCTCTCAAAAGCAACAGCAGTCTTTTTTTTTTTTTTTTTTTCAAGATTTCATACCATGTCACAGAATCAAGTGAGGCATGAGGTTGGCTGGTCTCAGCCTTTTATGGTCTGTCAAAACAGGAGATGGCTCCGCCGCCGTGTAAGCCTGGGACCAGAGCTCCATCTCTGGGACCCATAAAAAATATGCCAGGCAGAGCAGGACACATCTATAACCCCAAGGAGGGATGACCAATCAGATCCCTGAAACTGACCAGCCGCTGTAAGTAGAGTCAAATCCATGACCTCCAGGTTCAGTGCAAGATCTCATCCCACAGTATGAGCATGGTGTCTGAGGAATGACCCTGGAAGGTACTTCTGTCCCTCTTCTCAAGAGTGAACAAGGACTAGCGGTGTGGCTCAGTGGTAGAGCGTGTGTCTGCAGATCCCCTAAGGAGGGGCTGGGGAGATGGCTCAGCAGTTAAGAGTACTTGAGGCTCTCGCAGAGGACCAAGCACCTGCAGACTCAACTGTCTTTAACTCCCGCTGCAGGGGATCTGACACCCTCTTCTGGCCTCCATAGACACCCACACATAATGGCATATCCTCAGTGCAGATGCTATAGATGCATAATGTTTTTATTTGTTAATTGCAAATGCTTTTTTTCTTGGTGGTACTGGAGATTGAACCTGGGACTTCACACATGCTAGACAAGTGCTTTCCCAGTAAGCCACACTCCCTGCCCACTGATACTGTTTCAAAGAGCTGAAGATATGGTTCAGTGGGAAACCACTCACTTAGTCTGCGCAAGACTTTGGGTTACATTCAATAATAAAGTCTGGTAGTGGCTCACGCCTTTAATCCCAGCACTTGGGAAGCAGAGGCAGGCAGATCTCAATTCGTTCAAGGCTAGCCTGGTCTACAGAGTGAATTCCTGGTCAGCCGGGGCTACATAGTAAGTCAGGCTATACTGAAAATAATATATATATTTGTATATATTAAGCATGTATTCAGTTTTGAGGGAGCATGTCCTAGGGATTGCTCTTGCTAGGTAAGGACTATACCTTAGCCAGGACCCTGCCCTGCTACCTCCTGTGTTATTCCTCAGGTACCATCCATCCTACTTTTAAGGGACAGTCTCCCACGGAGACCTGGAGTTCCCCGATTTGGCTGCACTGGCTGACCAGTGAGTTCTAGAGAGCCAGCTGTCTCTGCCTCCCCAGCACTGGGATTAAAGGCATGCATTAATGTACCTAGTTTTTTGTCCATGAGTCTGGCTTGAACTCCGGTCCTTATGCTTGCAAAGGTGCAACTGAGCCACCTCCCCAGTCCTACTTTCTAGTTGGAGCCAGGGATGCTCAACTGGTCTTGCACCCACCCACGATGCTCCTGTCATAAGCAGATTTGACTCTTCTTCTAATATATATGCTTCAACCTCCCTCTGATGGCTTCCACTCTCTACTCATCCTGTGCTCAGTGGAACATTAGGCAGTGTAGGAGACGGAGGGCAGCCTGGAGCTCTGCCCGGCTCCGGTTCCTCTTGTATTCGGGCTGGCACCCATGTGGTGGACGGCAGGGCCAGGAGCAGGGACAGAGGCACCATAGAAACTCTTCTGCCACAGATCTACTCGCACCTGCGTTCCTACACCGTCCCGCAAGAGCAGCGCTTCGTCATCCGCCTCCTGTTCATTGTGCCCATCTACGCCTTCGACTCATGGCTCAGCCTCCTCCTCCTCGGGGGCCATCCATACTACGTCTACTTAGACTCTGTGCGAGACTGCTACGAAGGTGATACTCCAGGCTGGGCCTGCGGGAGCTCAGCGGGGACCCTCAGCTTCACACATGCACACCTACCTGCACACACTTCCCCTGCCATCATCCCCAAGGTGCCCTGTCTCAGCTGGGACCTGCTTCCGGGGTTGCGCAATCGGCAACCTCGATGCCTGGGACTCACAGTCTGAGTAAGCTCGCTCCCTCTCCTGGGGTATGCTGAGTGGATCTGGTGGCACCTGCATGCAGAGGGGTTCTGTGACTGACCCTCACTGTCACCTCCTGTCCCCCTGCAGCATTTGTCATCTACAGTTTCCTGGCCTTGTGCTTCCAATATCTGGGGGGAGAGAGCGCCATCATGGCTGAGATCCGTGGCAAACCCATCCGGTGAGTCCACCCACAGGCCCCGCCCCGTCTGGGGCCCGAGCCGGGCCACACTGTAGAACCCCCAATTATCTTCCTAGTGACCTTAATGGCATCTTCCTCATCTGCAGGTCCAGCTGCTTCTATGGGACCTGCTGCCTCCGTGGCATGTCCTATTCCATCACTTTCTTACGTTTCTGCAAACAGGTGAGGGGGCCTGCCCACCCCACCCCGATGCCCTCACCCGGCCCCACCCCATCCCAACCTCACTCCCTTCCCCCACCCATCCCAGGCCACACTACAGTTCTGCATCGTGAAACCTGTCATGGCTTTGACCACCATCATCCTCCAGGCTTTCGACAAATACCACGATGGGGACTTCAAGTAAGGGGGACTATGAGCAGGTGTCTGAGGGGCAGGGCTCCCCCGCAGGTCCCTTCCTCAAGCGGCCTTCTTCCCCCTCTCTGTGGGCTGTAGCTCAGTTGGTAAAGTGTGTGCCTAGCATGCATGAGCGTCTGGGTTCTATCCCCAACTTCATATAAACTGGGTGTGGTGGTGGTACACACTTGACATGCAGCACTTGGGAGGTTGATAGAGGAGGATTAAAAACTAGAGGTCATCCTTGGCTATCTGAGGAGTTTGAGGCCAGCCTGGGCTACATGAAATCCTGCCTCAGAACAAACAAACAAAAACATTGCTAGGGTTGTGGGAGGGCCCAGGAGGACAGGCCACAGCTCTGGGGGAGGCGCCTGAACCATGCCCTATTCCTGAGGGGTAACCCCAGGCCTTCAACCACTACTCCCTTTGGTACTGTCTGAGGCCCTGGAGGGAGGATCTAGATGGAGCTGTCCTGGGGGTTGTGGTGCCCAGCCAGGGGACAGGCTAAAAGAATGTCTGTCATGAGAGACTATTCTAACCAGCACTTCCTCTGACCCAGCATCCACAGCGGCTACCTGTACGTGACCCTCGTGTACAATGCCTCAGTTAGCCTGGCTCTCTATGCTCTGGTCCTTTTCTACTTCGCTACCAGAGACCTCCTGAGGCCCTTTGAGCCAATGCTCAAGTTCCTCACCATCAAAGCCGTCATCTTCCTCTCCTTCTGGCAGGGTGCGTGAGCCTGGGCAAGGGTGTGGGGCCAGGACTGGCATCCCTGGGACCTGGGTTCAGATCTGACCTCTATCTCAACCTTGTGTGCCTCGGCATCTGTAACCTTACAAAAAGTCAATAACTCAGCTGCTCAGCTCAGAGCTGGCAGAGTCTGGAGGGGAGCCTGTTGACCGTGAGATCTGTCAACAATAGGAAGCCTTGGCTTCCAGAACCCTGGTCCCCACCAAGCCCCCAGCAGGCCATGAGATCTCACTCAGTCCCCACAGCCAGCAGCATAAAAGCAGGGATCCCCAGGCCCAAGTTGGATGTCTGGGTGAGAAACAGGAACCCTGACTTTGAGGTACCCAGCCCTTCTCAACCACAGCCCCTCCACCAATGTGGTCAGTATCAAAGAAATCCTGGGATAAGGCTAGCCTTTCCCCCTGCATACCCTCGGCTTCAGTAAGAACCTTGGCAGGGCTCGGCTTCCATCCAACAATGGGGCCTGAATGGTTGTCTGTCTCTAGGAATGGTGCTGGCCATCTTGGAGAGGTTTGGGGTCATCCCTGAGGTCCAGGCCGTGGACGGCACCAGGGTGGGGGCTGGTACCCTCGCCGCTGGCTACCAGAATTTCCTTATCTGCGTTGAGATGCTGTTTGCCTCGCTTGCGCTGCGCTATGCCTTTCCCAGTCAGGTGTACTCAGAGAAGAAGAACTCGCCAGGTGAGCTGGGCCCCACCACTGAGGGGCACCTGCAGTGGCTCAGCCATGATGCCCATCCCTGGAGGGGTCTTAGCCAGGCAGGCAAGGGGAGATTGTGAGCTCTGAAAGATGTGGACAGAGGAAGCTACTCTGTTAATACTTGGTGCCTGTGGAGGGTGTCAAGAGTGGCTGAGTTGGCTGGCCTAGTGAGTATGCTGACTGGCCACATGGCTGGTGACTGCATGGCTCCTGGCCACTCAAGGCAGAAGTCTATTCAAAGATAGCCCAAGACCAAGGCTAAGACACAGGAGCGCCCTTAATCCCAGCACTCGGGAGGCAGAGGCAGGCAGATCTCTGTGAGTTAGAGGACAGCCTGGGCTACAAGAGTGAGTTCCAGGACAACTAGGGCTGTTACACAGAGAAACCCTGTCTCAAAAAACTAAAAAAGAAAGAGGGGGGGGAAGGGAAGAAAGAAAGAAAGAGAGAGAGAGAGAGAGAGAGAGAGAGGGAAGGAAAGAAAGAAAGAAAGAAAGAAAGAAAGAAAGAAAGAAAGAAAGAAAGAAAGAAAGATGGATGAAGGAGCTGAGCTGGGTCTCTAGTCTAAGGTCACCTACTAACCAATGGCAAGGCCTGGACATGCTGGATCCTCAGACCCAGATAGCCCAAGGTGAGACAGGGATGAGGGACTGGGTTAATGAAGCGGGGTGCTGTGGACCAGAGGACCTGTGAGTCAGGCCCACATGTTCTACCTTCCAGCCCCGCCAGCACCTATGCAGAGTATATCCAGTGGCTTAAAGGAGACCATCAGCCCACAGGACATTGTCCAGGACGCCATCCATAACTTCTCACCAGCATACCAGCAGTATACACAGCAGTCCACACACGAAGCTCCTGGGCCTGGCCAGGGTGGGCACCCATCGTCCAGCACCCACCCTGGCCCAGCCAGCAGCTCCGGAGGGGGTAAGAAGAGTCGCAACATAGAGAAACGCATGCTGATTCCGTCAGAGGACCTGTAGGGGCATGGGGTGTGTGGAACCTAGCAGGGGACCCACCCATCAGCATTTCTTTTGACAGAGGCCCAGCCTCTTCTGAGAGCTCACTGGGGGGCGCATTGGGCCTCTCTATTCCCTATATATCGCCCAGAGCGAAGTCACCTGGGCAAATTGGACAAACCTAAGGACCCAGTGAGATGTCTTAGTTACAGCCTGCAGGTGGCGCTTCCTTCCACAGGCAGAAGCAGCGCATGGTAGATCCCAGGCTGTGTCACTGCAGAGAGAGATGGCCAGGGAGAATGGGCCCAGTCACTCAGGCCTGGGGAGCCACATAGCCTCGGCCTGGCTGTGGCTATCTTAGATGTATGAAGAAGGCCCTTTGTCCTGCGTTCTAGCACAGATACTTGGCCAAGCCCTCCCAGGGGCAGCCTAACCTATTCCGCACAACAGGGTTGCCAGGGCGCCAGCCTGCCAGCTACTGACTGCTTATTTATAGATAAACTCCTTGCATTTTTTAGAGTTTGTTGGGCTTTCTTTTCATGTGGGGCTTGTCTTCTGAGTGATGGATCCCTAAGTAGTGGGTTCGCTGGGGCCCACAAAGCAAGGCTGGATGTCAGAAACAGCCAAGGTGTGAGCCATGATGTGGCTCAGAGCAGTATAGGGCAAAGGGTGTGGACCTTGTCCCCAGATGACCAGCTCTGTTCCACAACAAAAGTTGGGACAGTCACCTCCCTCTGAACCTCAGGTTGGCCCAACCCTAAAGTGTTTTTTTTTTTTTTTTGGTTTTTCGAGACAGGGTTTCTCTGTAGCTTTGGAGCCTGTCCCGGAACTAGCTCTTGTAGACCAGGCTGGTCTCGAACTCCCAGAGATCCGCCTGCCTCTGCCTCCCAAGTGCTGGGATTAAAGGCGTGCGCCACCACCGCCCGGCTCTAAAGTGTTTTATAAAGCTTGTGGCACACAGCCTAGCATGCCCGAGTACAGGGACTCAGGCCTGGGAGCCCCCTTCTGTCTTTCCTCTTCCTGTGTACCCAGTTCAGTGCTCAGGGAGTCTGGGATAGGCTAGACTGGCTTTGGAAACACGGAGGACAAAGGTAACAGGTAGGGAGTCAGTGACCAGCTGTCCAGGCAAGCAACCAGACAGAAGTGCCTGGTGGAAACCACCCAGGAACAGCATCGCTTTGCCCAGTTGCCAGCTCCCAGAGCCCACAGTATCAGACAAGGCGGGTGCACTTCCCTGCCTTCTTGTTCTCGGGGCCCAGAGACAGGAGGAGTCAAGGCCAGTGGCATCTCCCTGGTCCTTCTGGGTTGATAAGATAGACTCTGTTCCTCCCTGCACCTGACTGTAAAAAGCCACCCACACCCACTTATCTGCCTTCTGGGATGGGCAGGCCCACAGGGTGGCCCCCTCAGCCCACACAGTTAGCAGAACTGGGAGGGGCTCAATACTCCACTGTAGAGGCTCAGCACTGGCCTTCAAATACGAGAGGAGGCTTAGGGCTCGGCCAGCAGGGGGCTGCCTTCCTTTGCCCTGGAGAGGCCATAAGCAGCGACAAGCTAGGAAGAATCCGCTTCCCAGGAGCTCAGACACAAAGATCCCAGGCCTTGGGCAGTATCTGGGGTCTGCACTTTAGAGAGAAGGCCAAACTGACATCACTAAACACCCACACATGCACCAGTAACCTCTGTACCCTGGTCCTGGGGAAGGTGTGCCAACCAAAGAAATTCAACAAGTTGCCTGCAGTTACTGAGCCAGTAGGGGATGCTACCAGTAGGGGTCACTGCACCTTGCTTCCCTCTCCCCCTTCCACCCCCCTTCAGACATGCCTCAGTCCAACTTGACACCAAGCAAAGTTGGGCCATGGTTATCATGGAATGTGGCTGTGGACTGACTCAGAAGGATCTGACCAGGCCAAGGTGGTCTGGTCAAAGAATAATGGGGAGTCATCAGAATACCAGGGGAAGAAGGGGGCTTCGGTCTCATCGCCTCTGGTGAAAGGACCAACTGCAAGTCTGACCCCATAGGGCCCAAGGAGGGACAGCTTGCCAGGCAGTAACTGTGCAGATCCTGGCACAACCTTCTGCTATTTCATGTGTGTGTACATTTGTAAGGAGGTCAGAGGTCAATACTGGGTGTCTTCCTTGGTTATTTTCCACATTAGTTTTTAGGACAGGACCTCTCGCTGAATGTAGAGTTTCATCATTTTGGCTAGGCTTGCCAGTAAGCACCAAAGATCTATCTGCCTGTCTTTGTCCCTACAATTGCTGGGATTACACACACGTAACAGGTGTTTTGTTTGGATTTGGTTTGGTTTATCAAGACAGGGTCTCTCTGTGTAACAGCTCTGGCTGTCCTGGAACTAGCTCTTATAGACCAGGCTGGCCTCAGACTCACAGACTCACCTGCCTCTGCCTCCCGAGTGCTGGGATTAAAGGCGTGCACCACTACTGCCTGGCTCTGCGAGTTTTTTATGTTGGGGTTGGGGATCTGTTCGGGTCTTACATTTACACGGCAGGCACTATTCTAAGCCATCACACTAGCCTTCACTCCTTGAGACAGGGTCTTACTTTTTAAGTTAAGCTGGCCTGGAACTCACTATTTAGCCAAGGCTAACCTCAAACTCTTATGTAGCCAAGGCTACCCTGGACTTGGAATGATCTCGCTACCTCATCCTCCTAACTACAGTGATTTATAGGCATGAACCACCATGAAGGGCTCTTGCCATTTTTGAACCTGTTCTGACCTCTGGTCCCCATGTGTGAGGTGGCCCAAGTAAAACCCAAAGCAGTCTACATGGTATGGGTGTGCCATGTGAGTGGACCTTTTATAGTCTCTGCCCAGAGGTTGGTTACTACTCAGGAACAGGAAGACCAGAAGATTCAGGGGTCAGCTGTAGAGAAATAATCTGGCCTAGCTAGAGACTGTTTCTGTCTTGAAAAATCACCAAGCGGGCTAGCCCAGGCGGCCCGCGAGCCCCAGAGATCTACTTGTCTCTGCCTCCCTAACACTGAGATTACAAATATGCACCTGGCTATTCTGTATGGTTTCAAGGGATTGAACCCAGGTTCTCATGCTTGCAAGGCCAGCACTTCACCAAGTCAACTGAGCTATCCCAAGCTCTAGTCAGACTTCTGAGAGCATTTCATTAGCTTCAGCAAACTGGAACATTGCTCTGGGCCTTACTTAAGACCCTGCCCCTCTTGCAGTGCCCTGCATGTCCATCCTAGACCCCACCTGTCATTGCTCAGGGGCTGAGGCCAAGCAGCCGGTATGACCCACCCCATGAGAAAGGGGGGCTCAGGTCTCAGAGGTTCCCAACTATGAAGCACAAGTTACATTGGCCATCAGAGACTTCTTGCCAGGGTAGCCTGGACATTCAGATATATGTGCCAATGACCAGGAGTGCAGGTGGAAGGTGTCACCTTGTGCTACTTCGTCCCTGTATCTCAGAAGATGGCCTGGGGAGAACACCATGGTCTGCAGAGTAGAAGGCTAGGCCTCAGGGAAGGGCCAGCCCAGACTATAGGGCAGGACACGGGGTTCCCAACCAAATCAGCACCCACACTCTGGAAAGCATCTCAAACAGGAAATTCTTTATTGCAAAGATACAAAAGCAGTCACAGCGACATGTACAGCAATAAATTAGGTAGTGGCCATGAGGCGGGGCACAGACAGGGGGTCAACAGTCTGTGATCTCTTCTCAATAATTTATAACATGGAGGGAGGAAGCACAAAAATAAATATTGAAATGAAACTGCCAAGGAGTAGGTGGCTGGGGACACCAGGCCTCTGTGTGGTCAGCATGTATCCCTGCCACCTTTTGAAAAAGTAAAGCTTGCTTTGAGAAGTCAGAGGAACAAGACAGAAAACTCACTTTTATCTTAAATAAAAACTCCATATATTAAATTGTGATGCTGAAATTTCAGTGACAAAGAGCCACGGGGCATGCTCACACCCTTCTCAGCCCCCTTCAGGCAGGTACCCTGCACAGGCGCTCCAGGTGGCACTGAAAGCCCCATCCAGCCTGCAGGCCAACAGTATGGAGTCTCCTTCATGGAGACCACCACAGGCCTGCAGTGGGCAGCAACCCACAGACAGGGGTCACCTGCCTACCGCTGGAGACTACCCTGGAGACCACGCATTTCAGTGTGATACCTGCTGGAACAAGCTTCACCAGTGACCCAAGCATGCCCAATGCCACCACAGAAAGACTAAGGGAGGCTGTTGGCACTCTGGGCCTCCATCCATGGCCAGTTCCCCACCTCACTGTCCAACCTACTCTGCATTAATAAAAGATCTACAGTATCAAACTGGGAAAGAAAACTGTTATGAAAAAATCTGTACGATAAAATGTGTATATAATTTTATATATATATATATATATATATATATATCTTCTCTCTCTTTAAATATCCCATGGTCCTTATTGATATCCAATATGGATTACCTACCAAGGCAATGGTTCCAACAGTGCTTCCTAAGTGCCTGGCTTTGGCTCAGCCTGCCCCCGACTCCTTGTCCGCCATATATTCCTCAGAGCCTGGAGGACATAATCCCTTTAGTAAGAAAGCACAAGATGGCCGATGGCCCAGAACGCTATGAAGGAGGAATAGGCAGGTAACAATTGGGCACCAAAGTTGCAGATACAGCCTGCCCTGGGCCCCTGCTGACACCCACAGGGCGTGTCCACGAGGCCCTACAGATGCACCCTTTGTCCCTCCATACTATCTATGCCTCTTAGGCCTCTTCCACATCCCCTGGGCCGCCAGGACTTCACCCTGACTTCACCTCATTCCTATTTTTTTTTTCCCCAGCAACAAGACACATCTTAACAGCCATTTCTGTATCCCTCAACACCTCTCAGGCTTCACAGGCTCCCCTCCAGCCTCTCCTCTCTGCTAAGCCCTAGGGAACCTGGGCCCTACTGTTTGCTGGCTCTATGGACAGATGGCCCCTGCACCACAATGGGCAACCTTAACTAACACACCCCCAGGGACATTCCAGGACATCCGTGTAACCCTCACTATACATACTGGACAGGCTCTCCTGTGTGGCCACCTGGCCCAGTGGTTTCCTGTCTTCACACAGGCTGCCGTGACAGCCTGTATACACACAGGAACACATGAAGTAGCCTTTGCAGGAAGCTATACTGGGAACTATTTCCCAGGGCGTGGACTTGGCTCTAAGGGCTAAAGCAGGTAGTAGCGCCCCTTGATAAGGACAAGGCCAGAGCCCAGAAAGTGACAGTATGGTGTCCACCCCAGCTGGAGGCCCTTAGGGGATGGCACTGATGGCGCTGACAGGCAGGCACCAGAGAAGTGGAAGACGAGTTCTCCCTCCCTCCCACAGGGGGCCTGGAGTTGTTCAAGCTGGTGGCCCGTGTGGTTCCTGTCAGCAACTAAAACCACACCCCTGGAGGAAGGAGAGATGTGAGTGGGGGTTGCTTGTAGCACTGGCTCATGAGAACCTCCCTTTTATCCTGCATCCGCCTGTCCCTGCTGTCCTTGCCCTCAGCCCCACAGGGTCCACAGTGGGCAAGTGGACATGAGGAATCTGTACCAGGGAGCCCAGGAGAGGCGTGAGGGCTGTGCCACTGCCCACGCCCTGCCCGACCCCGGCAGGCACTAGGAGGCAGCTGAAAATGGCACAGAGGTGGAGGAGAGCTCTGCAGATTTGACGATGGTGATGACACTGGTGGTGGCCACCTTGGTTGGCGTGACAGGCCCCCGGGCCACGGTGCGTGCAAAGGTCTGCAGGGCCTCGTACTTGGAGCGCAAGGCATCCAGCTCCAGTCGCATGCTGCTGTTTTCCCGGGCCAGCTTCTCTACTTCCTGTTGCAACTCTACACGCTGCCGCTCCAGCTCCTCCTTCTGGGTCACACGCTTGATACGGCAGCTAGCTGCGTAGCCGCGGTTCTTGAGTGTGCGCCGCCGTTGCTTCAGCCGAGTCACCTCCTCTTTAGTGAGCCCCCGCAGGTGCTGGTTCAGCTCCCGCACCGACATGGACACCAGCTCATCATCACTAAGTACAGGGGCGTTCTCGCCCGCCTCCTTCTTAACCTAAGGAGCCAGATAAGCAAGAGTCAGCACGGGGGAGATTGGGTCCACCGGACTGGACACAGTCACCAAAGATTGGGATCTGGTACAACAAAGGCCCAGAAGTGCATCTACATTGTGTAATGTTCCCATTCTACATCAAGGTGGCAGCATGGGACTCGAAGATTATGCCCATGGCAGGGTACCACAAACAACCCCACTGCTATTGCTGTGACCCCTCTTTGAACAGGAGGACCTGACAGCCAGTCCCTTGGGAAGTAAGGTCTCGGGTCAACTTAAGTTTTCTAGACACTCAAGGAACTGGGCTATTTCCCCTCAGATACTCTTCTAGGTAAGGGACAGGATGATACAGTGGCCCTGCTCTTCCCTGACGTCTACCCACTGGTGCAAAGCGTGAATCTGGCTGGTCAGGGCTCACTCAAGGGAGTCCAGCACACAGTACTCAAGAGCCTGCAAGGCAAGAAAACTGACTCAGAAGCACCTTTGGTGACAAAGGTTGAAAAGGCCCAGAAGGGAGTAAGGGCCTGGGCCGGCAGACGGGACATCAGCTTACCTGAGGATACCACACTGCCCACCTGGCACAGGTGGGGGAATGAGCTTGGGCAGATGAAGGGCCTGTGGATGCAGCTCCAGGTGGCTAGGATCTACGCAGCACCTGTCTTACCACCCACCCCTCCACCTGTGAGCTACCTTCCTGGTCAACAAGGCCAGGCTCTTCTGGGCCACTGTACCACCTCTCCTTCTGGGATCCTTCGCCAATTCCTGAGGACAAAGCTGACCTCGTTTTAGGGGCTGTGCTGTACAAGTGAGGCTGCCAGGACAGGGTGAGTCTTCCCTGTGCCATGCCAGGACAGTGCCAGTCACAGCCCATGCTGGCCCAGCCCACCTTACCTTCAATGCCTTGTTCGGCTTGGGATTAGTCGTCATAACCTGGGCCCTGTCACCAGGACGGAACCACCAGGAAACTGTCGCTGGAAAGAAAGAAACAGTGTGGGTTAGGACCCAGCAAGCTACGGGCATTGCCTCTGAGTAACAATACTTGAAATCAGTTCTTCTCTCAACAACCCGAGACAGTAACAAGAGAACCTCAGCTCTAAAACAAAGGGGATGCACATGTAAATCTGTGTGTTCCTGTCCTAGTATGTCTGGCCAGCAACTCTACATGTTTCAGAACAAGCCCAATTCAGTTACAAAGTCACATGTTCCCCCCAATCCAGTTCACAAGGGCGTACAATAGTGATTCTCAACCTTCCTAATGCTGTGACTCTAATTCTGTTTCTCATGTTGTGGTGACCCCCAACCATAAAACTATTTTCAATGCTACTTCGTAACTAGTTTTGTTACTGCTGTGAATCATAACGTAAATATCTATGTTTTCTGACGTCCTTAGACAACCCCTGTGAAAGAGTAGTTTGATTCCCTAAGGGGCCGTGTCCCACAGGCCGAAAACCACTGCCTTAAGCAATCTGGAGTGGCCATCCTGGCCATTCTGCATCTGCCTAGCAGGCAGACATGAGACCCAACCACGCCTCATACTCCAGCATTAGCCCTCAGAGCAGACAGGCCCCCTAGGTCAATGGGGGCTGCCGTCCTGTTCCCCACCCCAGCTCATGCTGAAGCCATCAGCACTGTGGGGTATCTGCCGGTCATGAGCAATTGCTGCTTTCTGCTCTGGGTCCCCACAGCCTGAATTCAGACAATATATTTACAGCCGTGGGAAACCAGGTACTGCATCCTCAAGACCAGAGGGATCTGCCAGCTGCAGAGCCGCAGTTCTCAGCTCAGAAAGAGGGCCTTGGGACAGTGTCCCTTAGCAAGGGCTCCGCAATGGCTTACCAGGGAGCAGAAAGGCCCTTTCCCGAAATCTCACTCACCCCTAAAGACAGATGGGGTACAGAACACCTGCCACTCCTCCCTAGCCCTGCCCTCCAGCAACCCATGGGACACCTACCGCCGTGAAGGACACTGCAGCTGTGACATCACCACTCCTCCCAGGCCACCCCAGCCCCTTAGAGTGACCCCAAGGCCCATATGGGTGGGGTGGGGTGGCTACTGGTGGGTAGCAGGTTCAGAGGATCCAGCCAGAGGCACAGTCAGAGAACCGCAGCCACCTGACAGACCCCACTAGGCCGTCTGGCAAGGAACTGTCCCTGTGGCCGGCCCGCCAGCCCCCTGGCCCGCCCTTCTCATTCTCCAGTCTGCATTGTGTCACACACCCTCATCATTCATGAAAAAGCCAGCCAAAGCATCCCAAGCATGATTCCCCTCTGATAGTTGCCATGGCGACCTTGGGATGTAGCCAACCCCCCATGGTCTCCATGGCAACAGAGAAGCCCAAAAGCATTCGGGACTTGTGGGTCAAGCCTGTGCAGAAAGACAACACGAGGTTCTCAGGCAGTAAACAAACCCATTCATTCCCTGAACTGGGGAAGGGGCAAGAGGGATGGGAATGGCCTTTGGAGGGATGCACAGCCATCTCTTGAATTTTAAACCGTGACAATGACAGGCACAGAACAAGGGACGTCAGGGAAATCACACAAAGGAGAGCGTGGAGGACAGGCATGAACAAGACAGTGGGTGACCTCCACTGCCCCTCCCCCACAGACCTGGGGCCCTCAGGCCCCATCTCTCTACCCTATGATCCCACCTCTGATGGGGTCCTGTCTCCAGTGCCCACCACCCTCACTGTCAAAAAAAGTCATCAGTGAGAGGCAGATATTGACTCTGGCAATAGACACCCAGCACCCTGGTGACATCACTGGTCACTCTCAGAGGCAATGGCAGTAAGCAGAGCAGGACAGGGACAGAGCCATCCTAGAGGAGGCTCAGGTAAACCTGACACAGTACCCATCTGGGACCTGAGGTGGGACCAGAGCTGGTGGGGTGATCTAATGGAGATAAGAGACCACACGGGGACGTGGGCAAACTGTAATCACAGATCACCCCCAGCTCCAGCTGGGTTAAGTGGCACTAGGGAAGTCACGGGTTTCCGCCACTCCATTAGGAACTCTCAGGAACCAGGCGCCTAGGAGCCCCAGGAGCCCTGAGAAAGTTTTCCGTAAAGAGGGAGGAGGGGTTGGGCATCTCTTCCAACTTGTAACCCCAGCGTCAGTGACATAGCTATGTGGTGAGTCACGGGCTGTTTACAGAGTCGGCTCACATTCCCACACAAGGACACCCCTCCCACCCGCATGCTCACGGCCCCAGGGGCCACTGCCAGCGGAAAAGGAAGGTGCTGGGGAAGAAGAGGGACTCAACTTAGACCACGGGTGCTGAAACCCACAGGCCAGGGCTCAGCTTGGGGCAGGAGTCTTTCCACCCCATGATGATGGGACTGTGACACCAGGTGGCCAGGATGTGCACAGGGCAGGGCCTGCCCCCCAGGTGACACCATGAGAATCAACTGACCACTGGATGGGGCCACGCGGCCAGCAGGAAGGGCCCCTCCCCGGCTCTCTCCATCTACACCCACCTCCTGGGCTTCTGCTGGGGTCTGAGTTCAGGGACCCTTCTTCAGTCCTCAGCTGGCTTCAAGATGAAACATGAAGCCAAGAGGCCATGGACAAATGCCAACCCCTCCCGATGCTCTGGTCTCTTCCTCAGAAAAAGATGAGAGAACCAGCACCAGCGATGACCGGTGATGCTGGCTGAGAGGCCCCACTCAGGAGTCCTGGGGGCACACTTACAATGAGCTACGGAAGTTTACCCCAGCTTATCCTGCCCCAGCTAAGTTTCTGCCTCTGGAACCCCCTGCTCAGCAGGGACACTTGGACCCATGTCAAGATAACTCAAACTTCATCCTGCATGTCCAACACTGTAGAAGTCTGTCCGGGTGAAAGGTGAGGCACACATTGACCCTGGGTCAGAGGTGTGCCCTTCTGCCTGCTGCCAATCATGGGGGACAATCTAGGGAACAGAGATCTTCAGCAACTCAGCATGTGGCTAGGATGGTGCTGGAAGGTGCCCCTGCCCCAAATACATCAAGCACATGGGTATCGTCCCAACCTATCCATCACAGATCAAGCCAGGCCTCTCATCTTAGTACCCTGGGAGGCTGAGGTAGGAGGATCACAAGATGCGCCTGGGCTACAGCGTGTGTTCAAGGTCACTATGGACAACTTAGTGAGACCCAGTCTCAAAATAAAAAGAGAGAGGGCTGGAGTTGTAGCTCAGTGACAGACTGTGTGCCTAGTATATGCATCCACCCACAGAATCATTTAAAAAAATTAAGGAATGTAAAGGAGCCCAAGGGGGAATGTATTGTTTGGAGGTTTCCGGTGGTGCTGGGGAAAGAACCCAGGACTTGGACCACCCCTGAGCTATGTCTGGGCAGCAGAGAGCCCTGCATTCGTGATAGAAGTTTGTAAGACAAATGTGATTTCAAAACATCGAGTCACGTGGTGGCCATCACAGCACTTAGAACTCAAAGGCAAGAGGCTCAGTGCAATTTCAAAGCCAGTCTGGACTATCTGGGGAAGATCCTGTTGTAATAATAATAATAATAATAATAATAATAATAATAATAATAATAATAAAGCAGCCACACCTGCCATTACAGCAGAGGGGAGGGAAAGGCAGGATTCTTGGCCTGACTGGGCTACTTGAGGTCCTGTTTCTAAACAAAAACAAATCTTTTTTTTTTTTCTTGGTTTTTCATGACAGGGTTTCATCATGTAGCTCTGACTGTGTATTGGAACTTGCTCTGTAGACCAAGCTGGCCTGGAGCTCACAGAGATCCCTCTGTCTCTGCCTCAGAGTGCTGGGATTAAAGATTTGCCACCACCACCCACAAAGAACAAACTACTCTTAATGGCTTCTGTAAGCCATGAACTCTCAGGGGAGCCTCAAGGCCTCCCTGCTGAGCCAGGGGTGAGGGATTCAGTAGCCACAGTCAAACTACACAGGACAACAGGCTGAGGCAGAGGAACCCCCAGAGAAGCAGCTGACCCCCTCCCATCATTCCTGTTGCCTTTTGCAATTTGGAAAGGCCATCAAGACAGGGGTCCTGGGTGGCAGTTCTAAGTCACCAATCCAAGCTAGGCACATCTAGCCAAGAAGATCTGCCCTAGATCTTCTGATAAACACAGCTAGCCAGTAGGGTACAGGGTGGCCAGATCTTCCATTTCAAGATGGACTGAGGGAGAAGACCCTATGCATAAAGAGCAGAGGGGCATACTGCAGAGCGTGGGAATCCAGCCTGGGCACCCAGGAATAGCAGGCAGTCCAGGTAGACTGCAGTCTAGTAAACTGTCCTCAGAGAATGAGCGAGCCAGCACAACATCTCCCAACCCACTTCTCACCTCCATTAGCTGTCCCTCAGCCCAGCCTCAGACCTCCCTCCCTGCATGAAGGAGATAGCACACAGCTAGAAGGACCATGCCCAGGTCCAATGGAAAAATAGACAGGAAGCCATGGGGGCCTTGCTACCAGACCTATGGTGGACCAGAAAAGAAAGTCCCAGTATCAAAGGGTCTCCATCTTGCTCAAGGTAATGTGGAGCCTGGATCATCCACCTCACTCCCTGCTGCAGTTGAGGGTTTTAGATGATGCCCCCTGTTCCACAAGGTGTTACCAACTGCAGCTCCCTGACCCTGGCGCCTACTGCCCAGCCCAGCTGAAAAGGATATGTGCTCTTTAGGTTCCCAGTCTACCAAAATGGGGAAAGGGAGCAGGGAGCGGGGTGGATGAGGAGGAGGATGGGAGACCCATTCTGTCCAAGGGAACAGGTTCAACCCCAGACACCAAACCCAAACCTCTAACAGCTGCAAGCCACAGAACCTAAAGCCACTAAGGATGTGGCTACCTCTGCTTGGGAGCCTTTGACAAGTACCCAGAGTCAAGTACCCTTTCCAGGACCCCAAGGGTACATAGGGCTGACATCACCTGCCACACACAGTGGGCACATGCTGATGAACCACACCACAGCCGGTCAAATGAGCCTCCTCCCACTACAGACCACTAAGTTTTTACTGTGCCGTCCACCCACAGTGCATGGTGGGGCACCTCCGCCCAGCTCTGGCTGGCCGCCCTCCCATAAGCCACAACTGTCTGCCTGGCCTAGAGGACGTCTGGTCACCTTGCATTTGCAATCTCAGGAAGCTGTGTCATCCCAGCTACATCCAGAGGTGACTCAAGCAGCTTCCAGGCTGACGGCAGGCTGCATGGCGCAGCCCCCTCAGCTGTGGCTGCCCTCCCTCTGCCCCTCACCCAGACCTCCCCTCCCTGACTGGCTGAGTGGTTCTCTCTGCCACCAGGTCCTTGTTAGGGTTCCCGTCCTGTCCCTGGTGGTCCTCGGGTTTCAGCCACCTTCTAAGCTCCATGTTTAGCTGGGGATGTCTGGTGGGAACAGCTAAGCCCAGATTTGCACATGTGTGTAAGTGTGTACTGTCATTCGTCAGATTGTTTATCTGCTGTTTTTCTTTTTAAACTTAAAAATTACGTTTATTTGCTGGGTGTGGTGATTCACACCTTTAATCCTAGCATTTGGGATCCAGGAGTGTGAAGCTACCCTGGTTTATATAAGGAGTGTGTGTGTGTGTGTGTGTATACACATCTGTATGTATATGTGTATATATACTTGCCAAATTATATGTGAAGGTCAGAGGATAATTTGTGCGAGTCAGTTCTCTCCTTCCATGATGTGGGTCTTGGGGAACTGAACTCAGGTCATTGGACTTGGTATCAAGTACCTTTACCCCCTGAGTCATCTCACTGGCCACACCTCACTTTTTCAAACCAGGGTCTCTCAGTGGCCTGGAACTAACCACTAAGGCTAGGCCAGTGGACCAGCCAGAGAGGCTCAGTGATCCTCCTGTCTCTACTTCCCCAGCACTGGGATTAGAGTGTGTGGCCACACCTAACATCTTTTTGTGGGCTGAATTCTCCCTCCAGACCTGTCTGTTTAAGACAGGGTCCACACAGCCCAGGCTAGCATAGAACTGATCTTCTCCTGCCTCTACCTCCTAAGTGCTGAAATCACAGAACCAGCTCTTAACCTCAGCCCCAAGGTCTCCTGCCCAGCCCCAAGTATGGTTCAGTGTCTCTCTTGGTACAACAGATTCCCAAGCTGCTCTTGGTGCAGGTTGTGGAGTTCCCTTCTCAGCTTCCTGCTCTGGGCTTCCTTCTCTGGCTGGTGAGTGCTCCTGAATGTGGAGGGCACAGGGTCTCTACGCCACCCTCAACTTCTGCTTCTTCCACAAAGTCCTAGACCTGGTTCTAGAATTTTCTTCCAGTAGTTTTGTTGTACAATGAGCCCCTCCCCGTCAAGCAGAAAACTTGTGTTACTAACACCAGCTCCCTTGGGGTATCAAGATACTAAAAAAGTTCTGTTTTATAGGCAGAGGGGGGATTCAGACAGGGAAAGAAGCCTTGGAGAAAGTGTGTGCCCTTGCCCCACCATACCAGATGGTCTCATGGAAGAACCAGCAGTTGTGTCACCACCAGACGTGACAGCCCCTAGCCTCTAACCCTGACCTCTGACCTCAGGCCGTGCCATCAGGCAAACAATGTAGGCTTCAGGATCCTCCCCTATACCAGGCAGTGCATGATCACCCAGGCCCAGGGCTACCCCCGTGAAATTCTACAGATTTTCAGATAACACTCTCAGTTTCCTGAAACTGCAGTTAAGAGGAACTATAACGCATGTGTGACTTATAAAAAGCAAAAGTAAATACGAGCGACCAGGCATCTTCCCGGAGTGGAGCAGGGACAGGGAGGGTGGGGCGGGAGAATGAGTCACTGTTTATAGCTCCCGAGATCGGCCACACAGAGAATTCTCCCAGCCGGCCTGATTTCCATTTCCCGTGTGGACTAACTAGACCCGAGATCCAGAAAGTCCACTCCAAGAAACCTTTAGACTCAGAACAGCCAGGGCAGAAACAGACACAACTTCTTGGTCTAGACTGCGATCAAGAATTGCCAGCGGCAGTAAACAAACCCTGGGGCTGGCAGAGCCGGACTGAAAACTGAGGGTCCCTGAGATAGAGTGACCAGGAAGGTCTCACTAGAAGCCTTGAAGGGGCTAGAGGAAGGGCTGGGACACAGAAAGAGCCAACTCTGGGGGAAACATGGCTTCCCAGGACCCTCTGTCCAATTCCCATTTTTAGCAACTACCTGGAAAGTACACAGCCCTGAACTTGGAACCGGGCCCTGCAAGCCCAGCTCAGTTCAAGAACAAGAGGGGAATGTACTCCAGAGAAGCCTGGCTTGTTTTTTTACTCCAATAAATGTTTTATTTTAGAATCACAAGAAGTTTAGTTTTAAGTTATAACAGACTTACTTTCTTTACCAAGGTCAAACTCATGACATTTCTCCAGCTGATATATCTGAGGAGCGAGGAAGCTTTTGTGGTAAGGGTTGTCCACAGTGACACAGGCTATAGGTATGTCCTGCCTATCTACAGCTTTCCTTGCTCCATCCACATGCCTAAATCCATACCTTGTTGTTTGGGTTTGTTTTTTGGTGACAGAGTCTCACCATGTAACCAAGGCTGGTCTTGAACTAGCCATGTTCAAACTCAGTATCAAACTCAAACTGACTTCAAGCTCAGTATCTTCCTGCCTCAGACTCCCGAGTGGGCACGAGCAGGCATTACAGATATGTCACCACCATAATATAACAGCTTTAGATCAATGCCTAAAAAAAAAAAAAAAAAAAAAAAAAACCTCCCTGGCCCTAGAAACACCAGGCTTGAAAATGCCATAATGAGGCATCACAGTACCCACGTGCAAGCCACCAGATGCCTTTCGAAACGTGGTTGTCACAGTAAGACCTCAGCAGCGCCAACCCTGGGGTCCCAGAGCTGTTTCTGGTGACTCCACAGAAAGCGACGCTTTGAGTTAACTACCAGCTGTGGCATAAGCTGGCTTTTTGGGACTGAGGGCACCAGGCAAGGGAAAGCTGAGTGCCTGTCGGTCCGTTAGCGGGTGAATTATTAAAGTACATCTGTGCTGGCTATAGAGCTGTGTGAAAAGCAGGACACAGCAAAACTTCACAAGAGAAACAAGAGCACCAAGCAGCCTGCCCTCCCAAACATCAACCGCCTGTGAACACGGCAAGCTCTGGGAGGCTGGAGTGGCTACCGTCTCTGGGTGTAAGAAGAGTCTCTCTCCGGCAAAGGGAGCTAAGCCAGGCACCTAGGACCCACGAGGCTTTCTCCACCTGTGGTCTGCTAGATTTTGCTTCCGATTTCTCGTGGCACACTCTTAACACACCTATCCGCTCACCCGACAAGGGGACCTCACACTTCAGAGTTGGAAGAGACCTTGGCCCCTGACCACACCTGAAGAAACTGGCGGAAGCGATAGGCTGGCCAAGACGGTCACCTGCCTCGCTCCCCACCCACAGCTTCCACATCCGGCACCGCTGGCCGGTCAGCTGATTATAAAGGGACACCACTTATCCAGGCCCCTGCCGGGTCGCGGCTGGTGGGGCGGGGGTGGGGGGCGCGATGGAAGTGGCCAGGTGAGCATGGCTCCCGGGAGCTGCTCTCCCGCACGTGGCGGGTCCCGCGTGGGCCCTTAGCCAGGTCCCGCGTGGCACGTGCTCGAGGCCCAAGGTGGGCCTTCGCGGTGCGCCGCCTTCAGGTGCGCGAACTCGGGGTCCCCCTACCCCGTCCCGAAGCCCCTCACTCACCCGGGTCGCGCGCGGGGCCGGGCGCGGCGGCTCCTCGTGGACACGCACTCTTCACGCGCGCTTCTGCTCTCTCCCCCCGTATTCGCCGCCTCCGCCTGCGCGCTCAGGACTCCACGCTCCCACTCGGCGTAGAACAACAAGTCCTCGCCGCTCGCCGCCCGCCGCCCGCCGCCGGCTCCCCAGTACTGACACCGCTTCCGGGATCGCGCGTCAAAGCGCGTCACCGTCCCGCCCCCGTGTGGCCACGCCCCCATCCGATCACGCCCCTTGTTGCTCAGGCCTCTTCGCACACTAAAACCACGCCCCCTCCGACCAAGCGTTGGTGCCACGCCCCTGTTGGCCACGCCCCTTGCCTCCCCAGTTGCTGACTCCACCTAGATCTTTCCACGTGCTGTTCCTTGGCCCTGTCCACCTCCTGCACACCCGGGGCGGAGTCAGTGCGCCCTTCCCAAGGTGGGGAATGATAGGCGAGTGTGGCACACATCTGGGGTGTCTGTGACCCATTTTTCCTAGGCCTTTCAGTCGGGCCACTGTTGTCTGTGCTACCTACTATGATCCTGGGGTCGTGGCTGCTGGATCCTCCCGGGGCCTTGGCAGAGGGAATGGAGACCAACTGGTGTTGACCATGTTCCGGACATAACACCAAGTCCAGGTCAAGGAGGCGAAGGGAGCTGAGCACTGGGAAGTGGATCCGTTATACCACCTAGTCTGCAGGGCAGATGCACCCTACAAAGAAGGAAGGGGTACCTAGCATCCTCTTCTGACCCACACCCTCACCTTTTGACTTATCTGAGACAGCGTAGGGTCATAACTATGCAGCTCAGACTGGCCTGGGATGCTTGTAAAACTTCCAATTTTTTTTACTTATTTATATGTGTAGATGTTTGTATGTGGACTGTTGTATGCATGCTACCTCGCACATGTGGAAGTCAGAGGGTAACTTTGGGGAGTCAGTTCTTTACTTACATTATATGGGTTCCAGAGATCAAACTCAGGTCGTCTGGCATGGAAGCAGATACCTTTACCCACTAAGCCATCTCATTGGCATTGGCTTGGAACTCTTGATCCTCCTGCCTCCACCTCCTGAGTGAGTGCTGGGATCCCAATGTGGTAATATGCTGCTATATGGCTCTCCTTTATAGGCCTCGATGAGGGACAAAAGCACTGTCCCACACGGAGCCTCCTGTACTCCAGCCCAATGCTAGGAGTACCAAGATATCCTTAGATAGGAGCCATCCTCCCTCTACCTGCCCCAGAGGAAGGACAGAGTCGGAGGGTGGTGGTCCTGTGACCGTTGGATGGGAGGCAATGCCCAGAATGCATTTTAACATCCTTCTTTCAGACCTAAGTGATGCCCAGGGCTGAGAACCAGATGAACAAGTCATGCCTCCGCCCTAGCAACAGTGACCAAGGCTCTCAAACCCACACACGGAGTCTTCTCAGGACTTTTTGGTGTGAGTTGTGAGGCACTCAGGACGTATATTGGGGGCAACGGCAGCAAGTTCCTTGGCTTTCTGTGTCGTCAGTTCCACACTGTTGCCCTGTATGCTGCTGCAGACCCCATGACCTCTGACAGCTGACCTCGCGTCTAATCTTGCTCCTAAATGTCCTCCGGCACCGACCACTAGAGGGAGCCATCCAAATCTGCCTACAGCAGCAGTGACCACAAGCGCCCATCTGGCGAAGATATTTTCAAAGCTATCCCCTAAGATCAGGAGGATGCTTCCCTTCATTCTCACCGGTGCTCCCACGACCCCATGCACAGCTGGACCTGTCCCAGTTGGTCCTCTCTGAAGGACTCTCCCAGGGGTCGGATGGTTTCGCTGTCCTTTATCTGACTCCACAACTCTGTTCTCATGGAGATTTTGTTAGGATAATTTATTCTCCTTAGTTCCTTCAAAGCAAGAGATCTAGAAAAGCCAGGCATGGTGACTCACACCTTTAACCCCAGCATTGGGAAGGCAGAGGCAGAGGTGAGTTCAAAGCTAAACTTAGTCTATACAGAGAGCTCCAAGACAGCCAGGGCTACATATGGAGATCCTGTTTCAAAAATAAAAATCCAGAAAAATGGGCAGGGCAAACATGAGGACTTGAGCTTGACCCCAAAACCCAAATAAAAAGGTGGGGTGTTGGAGAGATGACTCAATGGTTAAGAGCATTTGCTATTTTTGCAAAGGACTTGGCTTCAGTTTCCAGTTCTTACATGGCAGCTCTTAGCTGCCTATAATTCCGAAGAGGATCACAAACCCTTTCCTGGCCTTCGAAGGTATTAGGCACACATGTAGTACACAGACATACATGAAGGCGAAACACCATACACATTAAAAATAAATAAATAAAGGGGGCTGGAGAGATGTCTCAGAGGTTAAGAGAATTGCCTGCTCTACCAAAGGTCCTGAGTTCAATTCCCAGCAACCACATGGTGGCTTACAACCATCTGTAATGGGATCTGGTGCCCTCTTCTGGCCTGCAGACATACATACAGACAGAATATTGTATACATAATAAATAAATAGATAAATATTTTAAAATAAATAAATAAATATTGGGCCAAAAAAAAAAAACAACCACAGCAAGTGTGGTGGTGTGCATGTTGTGTTATTCTGAGAGAGGGAGATAGATGAGGCTCTGGGGCTTCCTTGACAAGCCAGCGAGAGACCCTGTCAGAAGAAACAAGTTGGGTAGCACTTCAGACACAATACCTGAACTTTCCCTCTGGCCTCAACATGCTAGTGTGCGTGCACGCGCCCCGCACGCACACGCATGCACACACAAACACAGAGTCACAGCTGGCTGTGGTGGTGTGCACCTGTTATAACAACTCCTGGAAGGCTGAGGCAGGAGGGTCGTGAGTTGAACGACCTGAGGCTATGTGCCTTAAACTTGGGATTCCCATCTTTACCTCCTGAGTGCTGGGATGGTGGGCATCGGATGCCCCACCCGACCCATGTCACGTGGGTTCAGTTGCTGAGTGGTTGTGGAGACCGGTGGCCATGGCTTGGCTTGCCCAGATAAATGCTCCTTTTTATGATGGCTTTTATGGTAGAGGTGATGTGGGTTACACCCTGGTAATCTATCCCTTGTTGCCCTGGGAAGGGTCCTGTAACCACCACCGGTGCCCAAGGCTAAAGCAGGGCACGCCCTTCATCCCAGCTGTCCTGGGCTGGTACTAGTGGGAGGGAAATCCACCTCCGTAGGGAGGCTGGGCATCCTGGGAGGATTAAATGCCCTCCAACCCACCTACAGAGAGCAAGAGATGGGAAGAACTCAGATGGCCCCGGCAAAGCTAGAAAAAGGGATGAAGCTACTAGCATCAGAGGTCATTAAGTAATAAAGCTACAGACAGGAGTGGGCTAGCACCAGCCTGATGGAAAAGGGTAGCGGTTCTACTGACATTGGTGACCCTAAACACCCCTTTCCCAGGAGCCCAGACTTCCTGAAAAGAGAGACTAGATCCTTGGAGAGGCCAGACCCCAGGACATTCTGTGGTTTCCCCTTAGACATGGGAGCATGGCCCTCCCAGTGCTGATAGGGCAGTGTCTGCTGCCGAGGCCTGTGAGATGGATGTCATGGCAGACGGAAGTTCATGCCAATACAGCGGCTGCCTCCTGCTCGAATGATGGATGTAGTGTTTAGCCAGGATTGCCCTCTTTATCTTCGTGAGGATGGAATCAATGAATGGACAGATGGAGACTGTGAGCGATACAACCCACTTGTCTAGCCACAGCCGTGCCCTCAGGGATGAACTCTGAGTCCAGTTCCTTCCCGGGGAGGGTAGGGGTTGTAAGCTCCTATCCCTGGCATTCCCTGAGGCTAGGAGGAGAGCTACAGGGATCTATGATGGCTTCTGGGGTAAGGAAGGCAGACCGGCTACGACTGCCGGCAGACGGGGTCTTAGCGCTATATACGAGACAAATGGGAGCATGGCGGGCTTGAAGGGGGTGGGGAGAGTTTAGTTATCAAAAGTACCTTGGCCTTTGTCCAGCTGTGTGGCCTTGGGCACGTAGTCCCCACCTCTGTGCCCTCATCCTCCACTTTAAGACGACAATCCCTTCGATTCTCCTGTGATTCCAGGTAATCCTCCTGCCTCAGCCTGCTGAGTGGGAGCCACTGCACCCATTGTATGGCAGCTTCCTGGGCATTAAGACATTCCCTCCAGGAGACTCATGGAGGTAAACAAAGGGCCACTGTGTCCAGGAATGTGAAACTTGGAAGGCTCTCGAAGACCCCTCCCCAGTTCTATAAAAGGAATAATTGCTGGGTGAGGTGACGTGACCAGCTGCCCTAGGGAGGGGACAGATTCTCAGGCTGTCAAGTTGCCTGTGCATCTTGCAGAGAGCACCAGGGTTGCAGCTTTCCTGCATTGTCTCCTTCGTTTGGGGTGAACTTTTCCATGATGCAACCACTTTTGGGTCATCCCTGCTCCATAAGTAAACCCCTCCTCCGCCACACACACACACACACACACACACTTCCATTAGTACTGCCACGAAAAACTGATTAGTTTACCAAGTTGGACTTCGGTGCAATCGTTACTTTGGTCTATTGTAGGGCCAGCTGGAACTTCCGTGCAGTTGAGGAGGGGCTTGAACTCCTGAACCTCCTGCCTCTTCCTCTGAGAGCTGGAAGTATGGGTGCGAGCCACCCATCATGTTTGACTTGCATGGTGCTGAGGTGGCTCCCAGAGCTTCATGGTTGTCAGGCACGCACTCTACAGTGGAGCCACATGCCCAGCCCTGTTTCCCTATCTTAGTGGCAAAGCCACTTATTCAGGGCCACCGCCTTCTTAGTGACCGAGGTCAAAGTGTCCAAATTCATTTCTATCAGGACCTGTGGCCCAACTCTTGTGAGTCACAGAGGAGGTGGACCAGAGGTGGTCACAATTATGAGACCACATTCCTCACCCTGGGTAGCTCAGCAGTGTATCTGGAATGGGTACCTGCCAGGGAGGTACATTCCCCTTACCTAGGTGACACAGGAAGCCGCCAGTGCTGAAAACTCCGCAAAGGGTCAAAGATGTAGAGAGTTCTAGCATAGTATATTTCATTTATGGGGTGATTGATTGGTAGGTGGGCAGACAATTTTCCTAGCCGGATCTTTCCTACATGCACACAAGGTCGAGTAGCTGACCTCATATCCACTACGTAGCCTCGGACGGTCTTGAACTTCTGATCCCCCTGCCTCTACCTCCCAAGCTCT